TACACACCATGCAGGTTAAATTAGTGCAATATCTTTCTGATTGCAGATGCACATACCTGGACCTCAACTATTGCAAAAGTTATCAGAACACCCGGTAATTACCTTCTTGTGTTCTCAGAGACATCTTTTAGTATAAAACAGTCAGCTCTTGGACTGCATTTGCTGGACAATCCATTTCTGGACAAATAAGCAGATGAGGTTTTGTCGAGTAAATAGATACCTAATTTTGTTAAGCCTTAAAATTTAGAGTGCCAGTGAAGTTGTGACAAACTGCAGTATGCACATTTGTCTATAGGTGAAGCCATTAAAGCCTCTACAGGTCATCAATTTAGATGTAACTGTGAATAGTAATTATGGAGGGCAGACTTTTTAGAGCATGTCCTAATTAGCTTCTATAAAGCTGCAACTGAAAGTGTGTTAATGTATCACATTTCTCTGTGGCAAAGATCATGCACAGTCCATGACAGAAATGCCTTGTAGAGGGTAATAAAAACAGCACAGAAGATTATTGTAGTAGTTAAGTTTCTGATTATTGAGGATTTGAAGGAGGGAAGCTGTCTTTAGAGAGCAATTAATGTATTGGAAGATACTTCACATCCTGGTAATGTTCTGTATACGCTGCTACCTTCTGGTAACGCCAGGTTGTGGAATAGCTTCTTTCCTTGATCTGTATAGCTTTGGTATGCTAAAGGCATTGTAGAATAAATGGATTGGAAGTTATGTATTTGTTACGGTATGGGTGCTGTTTTTTTTCTGGCATGTGTGGTGATATACAACGCTGTATAACGTATGTAGATCACCAATTTTACACATAGGCACCCCGAAGCATATACTTTTGCATGTATGTGTGTATGTGGGGGTTTAAACATTTTTACATTTTTCATTATAAAGTTTGCATAGGGGAGCTATGTATGTTGTGGTAGTTGTGGAAGTGACTGTGAAGATGACAGCTGACAGTCAGCTTAACTGGAGTACTCACTCTCCTGGGCGCTATAGTGTGCTTAAATGGCACTGGGGCTCAAGAGGTTAAATAAAATCCACCTACATACTCACTTAGGAGGGTCTAATCCTTGACACCTGATCTGGAACACCTCACAGACATCTTCATGGATTAAAAGTGGTGGTAAATGTAAAAGCGTACTTAATTTTTCCACATAACAAATCTTCATTTGGATTCATTCATGCAAATTAATACAATTAGTATTATATGTCATTTGTACAAATATTTCTCTTTTATCTTCAGGCACTATTAAAATCAAAATGTAATGTTTCTCTGTTAAATATGTTGAAAAAGACAACAGTTTCTATTGGATGTACTTACTTTTTTCTCCATTTTACTATGTTAGCACATAGTTGACACAGTGCTTAGGAGCAAAATGATAATCATACCCCTATCAGCTCTATCCTCTGCCTGTCCCACATCTTCTGATTATTTTTCCCAAGCAATAACAGCTCCACACTGATAGTAGCAAGGCCAGTCACCAGAAAACAATGTACAAACATGCTTATACTTTATTTTCAACAAAAGTAATACAAGTTCAGTTTGCATACTATAATGTAGCGCCTTCTAGTGTACATCTATTGAGTGTAGTTAGAGGCTTGTTAGAAGCCTGAGTGTGAGTGAGAGGGTTACTTCATGTTAAGCTGGAGGGCTTTACAGGTCAGTCCTGTGGTACCTCCCCTGCTCTAGAAGCGTGGAGAAGTTTCTAGAAGTCAGTAGGCGGAGGTGAGGAGGGGCTGATCTGCATATTTATGGGAGTCTGACCAATCCCAGTTAGGAGGCATGTCAGTGTGGCAGATTGGCCCATAAGTGACAGAGCCAGGTCGGCTAGGGGAGTTGGGTGGAAGATGGAGGCATGAGGTTCTGCTGTGTAGCCTGGGAGGGGGTCCCAGGGAAGGGGGGGGTCCTTTCTCCATGCTGGAGGTTGGAGGAAGCAGGGAATCTAAAAGAGGGAGCTCCACTGCCCTGCCATCCATCGGGGCAGGACAGTGTGCATAGCCTGGAAAAGAACCAGCCCAGAGGAAGGTCTAAAAGCAGTTCTAGCGCTATCCCTAAACTAATTAAATATATGCCATACCACTAACTAATCAAAATATGACAGTGTTCTATAAATACCCACTAAAGTGCAAAGTCTCTGTGCAATATGTGCAAAAAAATATAGTATAATATATAAATTGTGCAATCCGTGTACTGCCAACTATAAATAAAGTGCAATAGTGCCAATCATTAGCAAAAATCACTGCACACTTGTCAGGGCTCCCAGGTGTGACCAGAGGTGTGTGACTGATGCAGGGAAACGCAGACTTCAGATATATGATAAACAATATAATTTATTAACACTAACAATACAAACATAAACGCAGTGCAATACTAAAACATAATACAGTGCAAACAAACCAACCACCCACAGAAAACAGTACATACAAGCAAGCGTCGTCAGGCAGGCCGGGTCAATATCAATAGGGCAGGTAGGTACAGGGAGCAAGCGGAGATGGGTCGGGGTCACAGGCCAGGTTCAGCAGGTAGCTAGCAGCGTAGTACAGAGGGTCAGGCAGAGGGATGGTCAGGGTCACAAGCCAGGGATCAGAACAGGTAGCAAGCAGCGTGGTACAGAGGGTCAGGCAGAGGGATGGTCAGGAGCAAGCCGGGATCAGAGCAGGAGAAGTCAGCAGCGGTTCAGATCAGGCAGGGTCAGCAAAGGAACAGAAACAGGATGCAGGACAGATACAGGGCCCAGGACAAACACAACACCAAGGCAGAGTCTGCAAGTCTGGCCATCCCTTAAAATACACCAGTATCATCAGTTCCAGGTGTTAGCTGCTGAAAGGTTGAGTCTCTGATTGCTGGGAGCACCCGCTGGCCAGCCCTGGTACTGCAGATCAAAAGGCAGGTGAGTCCCACCATTGCTGGCCAGTCCATTCCTGACAGTACCCCCCCCCTCAAGGAGCGGCCTCAGGACGCTCCAAACAGTCCTAGCTGGGCAAAATGTTCCACCGCCCGGGTCTGGTAACTGGCGGGATATCAAAGACTGGCACACCGGGCAGGACTCCGGGCAGCGGCACACCGGGCAGCGGCACACCGGGCTGGACTCCGGGCAGAGGCACACCGGGCTGGACTCCGGGCAGAGGCACACCGGGCTGGACTCCGGGCAGAGGCACATCGGGCTGGACTCCGGGCAGAGGCACATTGGGCTGGACTCCGGGCAGAGGCACATCGGGCTGGACTCCGGGCAGAGGCACACCTGGCAGAGGCACATCGGGCTGGACTCCGGGCAGGGCACATCGGGCAGAGGCACATCGGAGCAGAGGCACATCGGGCAGAGGCACATCGGGCTGGACTCCGGGCAGAGGCACATCGGGCTGGACTCCGGGCAGAGGCACATCGGGCAGGACTCCGGGCAGAGGGCACATCGGGCAGGACTCCGGGCAGAGGCACATCGGGCTACCAGGCGGGGCGAGGCACCGGGGCCCCGGGCGGAGAGCAGCAGGCACCGGGTCCCGCGGGCGGGGCGCAGGCATCGGGCCCCCCGGGCGGGGCGACGCGGGGGCATCGGGGCCCCCGGGGCGGGGGGCGACGGGCATCAGGCCCCCGGGCGGGGCGACCGGGCACCGGCCCCCGGGCGGGGCGACGGGCGCCGGGCCCCCGGGCGGAGCGGCGGGCGCCGGGCCCCCAGGCGGAGCGGCGGGCGCCGGGCCCCCAGGCGGGGCGACAGACATCATCGGGCCCCCCAGGCGGGGCGACAGGCATCGGGCCCCCAGGCGGGGCGACAGGCATCGGGCCCCCAGGCGGGGCGACGGGCATCGGGCCCCCCCCCAGGCGGGGCGGCGGGCATCGGGCCCCCAGGCGGAGCGGCGGGCGCCAGACCCCCAGATGGAGCGACAGGTCTCGGGCCCTCAGGCGGAGCGGCGGGCGCCGGACCCCCAGGTGGAGGGACAGGTCTCGGGCCCTCAGGCGGAGCGGCGGGCGCCGGACCCCCAGGTGGAGAGCGACAGGTCTCGGGCCCTCAGGCGGAGCGGCGGGCGTCGGACCCCCAGGCAGAGCGACAGGTCTCGGGCCCTCAGGCGGAGCGGCGGGCGCCGGACCCCCAGGCGGAGCGACAGGTCTCGGGCCCTCAGGCGGAGCGGCGGGCGCCGGACCCCCAGATGGAGCGACAGGTCTCGGGCCCTCAGGCGGAGCGGGGCGCCGGACCCCCAGGTGGAGCGACAGGTCTCGGGCCCTCAGGCGGAGCGGGCGGGCGGGCCGGACCCCCAGGTGGAGCGACAGGTCTCGGGCCCTCAGGCGGAGCGGCGGGCGCCGGACCCCCAGGCGGAACGACAGGTCTCGGGCCCTCAGGCGGAGCGGCGGGCGCCGGACCCCCAGGCGGAGCGGCGGGCGCCGGACCCCCAGGCGGAGCGACAGGTCTCGGGCCCCCAGGCGGAGCGACAGGTCTCGGGCCCTCAGGCGGAGCGGCGGGCGCCGGACCCCCAGGTGGAGCGACAGGTCTCGGGCCCTCAGGCGGAGCGGCGGGCACCGGACCCCCAGGCGGAGCGACAGGTCTCGGGCCCCCAGGCGAAGCGCGGGCACCGAGTCACCAGGCACGACAGTGGGCTCCGAGTCAACGGGCATGACCGCTGGCACTGGGTCAGACATTGGATCGTCTGGCTGGACAGCGGGCATCGGGTCACCAGGCATCAGGTTATTTGGCTCGACAGCGGGCACCGCGTCATCTGGCAAGGCAGTGGGCTCCGAGTCAACTGGTATGATCGCGGGCACTGGGTCAGACATTGGATCGTCTGACTGGACAGCGGGCATCGGGTCACCAGGCATCAAGTCATTTGGCTCGACAGCGGGCACCGCGTCATCTGGCAAGGCAGTGGGCTCCGAGTCAACAGGCACGACAGTGGGCACCGGGTCATCAGGTACCGGATTGTCTGGCTTGACAGCGGGCACCGGGTCACCAGGCATTGGATTGTCTGGCTCGACAGCGGGGCGGGTCACCAGGCATCAGGTCATTTGGCTCGACAGCGGGCACCGCGTCATCTGGCAAGGCAGTGGGCTCCGAGTCAACAGGCACGACAGTGGGCACCGGGTCATCAGGTACCGGATTGTCTGGCTTGACAGCGGGCACCGGGTCACCAGGCATTGGATCGTCTGGCTCGACAGCGGGCATCGGGTCACCAGGTATGACAGCGGGCCCTGGGTCACCAGGCATCAGGTCATTTGGCTCGCCAGCGGGCACCGCGTCACCTGGCAAGGCAGTGGGCACCGAGTCACCAGGTACGACAGCGCGGGCTCTGAGTCAATTGGCACGATAGCGGGCACCGGATCAGGTACCGGACCATCTGGATCAACAGCGGGCATCGAGTCAACTGGCCTAATAGGATCGTCAGGCTGGATCAGTTCATCATGCTGGGTAGTAGAGGCATCAGGCTGAATGCCGGCGTCCGGCTGAGTAGAGGCTTCAGGCCGAGTAGAGGCTCCAGGCCGAGTAGAGGCTCCAGGCCGAGTAGAGGCTCCAGGCCGAGTAGAGGCTTCAGGCCGAGTAGAGGTTTCAGGCCGAGTAGAGGCATCAGGCCGAGTAGAGGCTTCAGACAGAAGAGAGGCATCAGGCTGCGTACAGGCATCAGGCTGAGTAGAGGATTCAGGCTGAGTAGAGGTCAGAGGCTTCAGGCTGAACCACAGAAGGCAGGTTCACCGGTTTGGATACTGGCAGGATGGTATTGGTTGGAAAGAATTTTCGCTTTTTTCTGGTTTTAACTACTGGAGCACTGCAAGTAAACGCAGGTCTGCAAACGAATGGAGCAGCTGGAGACAGAGAAGAACTGGAGGATGGAACAGGAGAGGGAGCAGTTGCTACAGAGGGCTTTTTTACAGGGTTAAAGGCAGGATAGGTGCAGCGAGTGGGAACAGGGTACTGACATGCGGTAGATAGCCAAGTATACTGGGCTGTAACTGGGGGAGTTGTGGGGAATACAGGAGTAGAGCTTTGAGGGAAATAGATTAGAAGCAGGACTGGGTCTTTGTAAGCTGACTGAGGCTGGGTGCAACAAGTCTGTCCATGTCTGCAGTATGGGTTGAACAAAGCTGAGCTTACACAAAGCCTGTCTGACCAAAGACTGCACTGCGTTTATACAATCTCTTAGTACCTGTGGTGAACATGTGGAATAACGCTCCAGAAAGTAACCCACATCATCCTCTAATAACCACACCAGGGACTCTACCTGGTCTGCACTAAATGGTGGCAAAAATTCATCCCTGCATTCGGGGGGTACCAGATGAAACCAACTCAACAACACAAACCTTAATCAATGGCTGCACCATAGAGAACTCTGTGCCCTGATCTACTAGAACATGAGCGAGCCGTATACATTCTAGCAGTTGATCCCTGGGATACTCCTTCAGAGTCTGATAAGCATATTTTCTGTCATCAAGCACTAGCAGAGATAAATACTCAACCTCATCCAGATCCATCCTTCCCAGCAACAAGCCAAAGATGGCTTCCCTGTGCAGCCACTTCTGGTCAGGATTGGCCTTGGTGTAATGTCAGGGCTCCCAGGTGTGACCAGAGGTGTGTGACTGACGCAGGGAAAACGCAGACTTCAGATATGTGATAAACAATATAATTTATTAACACTAACAATACAAACATAAACGCAGTGCAATACTAAAACATAATACAGTGCAAACAAACCAAACCAACCACCCCACAGATAACAGTACATACAAGCAAGCGTCATCAGGCAGGCCGGGTCAATATCAATAGGGCAGGTAGGTACAGGGGGAGCAAGCGGAGATGGGTCGGGGTCACAGGCCAGGTTCAGCAGGTAGCTAGCAGCGTAGTACAGAGGGTCAGGCAGAGGGATGGTCAGGGTCACAAGCCAGGGATCAGAACAGGTAGCAAGCAGCGTTGTACAGAGGGTCAGGCAGAGGGATGGTCAGGAGCGAGCCGGGATCAGAGCAGGAGAAGTCAGCAGCGGTTCAGATCAGGCAGGGTCAGCAAAGGAACAGAAACAGGATGCAGGACAGATACAGGCCCAGGACAAACACAACACCAAGGCAGAGTCTGCAAGTCTGGCCATCCCTTAAATACCCCAGCATCATCAGTTCCAGGTGTTAGCTGGCTGAAAGGTTGAGTCTCTGATTGCTGGAGAGCACCCGCTGGCCAGCCCTGGTACTGCAGATCAAAAGGCAGGTGAGTCCCACCATTGCTGGCCAGTCCATTCCTGACAACACTTCTGTCTAAAATATCGTCCATAAAGAAAAAAATGTCCAAATCCGACAAAAAACACACAAATCTTCATGCATGTGCTCACACGTGTCCACTCAATGTGAATCCAAAATAGCTGAAGTGGCCCCTCACCTCCTTGCCAAGACCCCACTGGGTCAGCTCACTTTATAACCAGGACACCACTCTGATGACTCACCAGGTCCTCCCCGCCGCCTCTTACACTTTATCAGCCGCCTCTTCCTCGTTTCATATACGGACAAAAGAACTTATATAGTGTAATACTGTTTAATCATTAATGATATAGATATAAAACAAATTGCCCACTCACATTTGTTATCTCTCATTACATGCCTTCAATACCCCATGCTGTGGGTATTGATTATGATATGGGAGTTTTTTATGTAATTAAAAGTAGTTTTTATGTTTAATTTATTTTAAGTGTAATATGTTATTTTTCCACTAGGGAGAGTGGGAAGAGGTATATGTACCCATATAGATTAATCATATAGGTCCACGGTTTTCATTTAAGTTAATTAGGTGGATTGGTAATATAATATACAATATAAAATACTGTAGAGGCTGTTGTTTGTGGTCCTTTGGTGGAGGATTACAAATATAACAGTATATGATGAGAGGGGTTTGTATTAGGTGGTCGGTCCGGTGCTCCTTGGTCCTGTATAAGTTGTACTGTCACCGCTATAATGGTGAGTATAGTAGGACTACGAGAAAATGGCCTGCTCGGGTCCTCCCCCAATCATTTGATTGGGCTAGGAGGAGTAGTATATTTAGAATCCAGTCCTCGGTGGGCGTTAACCTGAGGAAGTCACGTGATAACGTGACGCAACGCGTCGGTACGCGAGGAGGATTCTGGGAGCATGGTGACGTCAGTTTTCCGGCGGCGTGGCGGCCATATTTGTATCTCTGTATCTAATACCCATGCAGGAGATTCACAACAGGGGGTATTGAAGGCATGTAATGAGAGATAACAAATGTGAGTGGGCAATTTGTTTTTATATCTATATCATTAATGATTAAACAGTATTACACTATATAAGTTCTTTTGTCCGTAATATGAAACGAGGAAGAGGCGGCCTGATAAAGTGTAAGAGCGGGGGTGGACCTGGTGAGTCATCAGAGTGGTGTCCTGGTTATAAAGTGAGCTGACCCTGTGGGGTCTTGGCAAGGAGGTGAGGGGCCACTTCAGCTATTTTGGATTCACATTGAGTGGACACGTGTGAGCACATGCATGAAGATTTGTGTGTTTTTTGTCGGATTTGGACATTTTTTTCTTTATGGACGATATTTTTACAGAAGTGTGCAGTGATTTTTGCTAATGATTGGCACTATTGCACTTTATTTATAGTTGGCAGTACACGGATTGCACAATTTATATATTATACTATATTTTTTTGCACATATTGCACAGAGACTTTGCACTTTAGTGGTATTTATAGAACACTGTCATATTTTGATTAGTTAGTGGTAATGGGCATATATTTAATTAGTTTAGGGATAGCGCTACACCTGTATGTTTATGTTTATTTACTCATTTTGGTAAGGAGGTTTGTGTTAGCAGCTTGGTAAATAGGGTCCCAGTCTTAGCGCAGGAAGTTCTTCCGTTTTTTACTTTCTAAAAGCAGTTCTATCCACAGCTGCAGGACAAGGACAGTGTGAGTACCTCTACACCCTCAGGACCTATAAGGGAAAACTCTGCTGGGATACAAGTTCTTGGCAAGTCTTTGGGGGACAGTTTAAGGCTTACCCAATCCTTCACTCTGGATCAGATACCGTAGCCAGATGGACTGGTATTATGTTCACAAGGGGGACCCACTGCTCCTACATGTTGTCACTCTGCTGAAAACCCACTCAAGGGGCGCTAAAAATAAATTCCTAAGATGCAATTACTTTGCTAAAGACTGTTGTGATTCTGACTGAAACACAGTCAAAAGTCTGTAATTTTGCAGTATTCTAGAGAAGGATATTGTCTTCATTTTGTTATTCTTCAATCAAGCTGGGATTCCCATAATCCCTTTACCCCTATCCAAGTTAAATTCTCTTATAAATCTTAAAAACCAAGCCCATGGATTGTTTCTTTGTGTCTGGTTACAAGTTGGAAAATGTGTGTGTTCTGGCTGTGCAGGAAATAGGGGGGACCCAAATTCAGCAGCTCTCAGGAGGTTAGCGCTACAATAAGGTACATTGTTAATAAATCGTTTTATGTGTAATCCTCCAACCCTCCAAACAATTTGCCATTAGGTGATTATACATTATCATTTTCTTAATATTAACATATTGCTATATGTACTGATCTTATACTTTCTGAAATCAGTACCAAACTTGTCAATAGGTTGGACTTGGATGCTTGCTAGTCATGTGAAATCCTAGCTTATGTTTTTGTGTTTCAGTTACAAATTAGTGATCATGGATGATTGAATCAGGAGAACTGCTGATTCATTGCATTATGATTTTGAATATTTTCTTTTAGATATGTCTGACCTGCAGAGAATGGCACAGTTTAGAAATCCAGACAATTATAATTTCATGAAGATCAGCAGATCTGACATAATCTGATAAATCTGTATGTGTATAGTAATATATATATATATATGTGTAAAGGTAATAAAACTTTCTAAACAAAGGACCATGTTTACTAAATCTCTAAGACTTTGGGGTTAGGAGGGGGGGGGGGTGCAGATTGCAACCCAGTGGCAATGAAAAATGTTTCGCAGCATCAAGAGTAAGTAAACAATGCCCCAATATTGGTAGTCAGTGAGATTACATAGTGCTGGTTGTCAACAGGAAGATGAATAGTGCCACATCATGGGTATGTATGGAGGAATAGTGCCCCATCATGGGTATTAGTTAGGGGAATAATGCCCACCGTTGGTATTGTTTTTTTTTTTTACCCCAGTTGGTTATTAGTTGGAGAGATAGTGACACATAATTGGAATTAGTGGGAGAAATTGTGCCTCATCATTGGTATTAGTTGGAGTAATAGTTTGCCCCATCTCATTGGTATCCAAGGGTGGGATAGGGCCGCCTCATTGTTGGTGTCTGTAACAGGAATTATGCCCATGTGTTGATGTCCAGTGGGAGAAATAGTGTCTCATAGCAGGTACAGGGTAATAGTGTCCTATCACTGGTATTAGTTTGAGGAGCAGTTGCTCCATCATCTGGTATTAGTTTTAGGAATAGTGCCAAA